GCTGGGTTGGCAGAAGCTGGGGAGGAGACAGGAGCTCACTCTGCCGCGCGGAGCTGGGCTCAAACCGCTGAAATGTCGACCATTTCTGGCCGGCGACTTTCAGCGTCATTAAGCTGCTGCGCCACCGCGTCCCCTAATCATAGATTAGAATCAGGTAAATCACCCAGGATCTTAGATGAGCACCACACAGCTGATACTTTTCCCAATCAAGTCAACTTGATTCCTTCTCTAGGAATCCACCCTGGCACTGTTATATTTCTAAGTGGGATCTAGTTTAGGAAGACTGATTCTGATTTCCAGATCTTAGAACTGTCTTGCCCAAATTGGGGCTTTCCAGATGCGTTAGGATTGCAAATCCCAGAATTCCTGGCCAGCAGTGTGAAGGGAATTCTGCGGGTTGCAGTTCTAACACCTCTGGACAGCATTTGTCAGAAAGTATTGGTTGAGTGTATCGACTTACCATATCCTGATGGCACTGTTTACCTTGCGTCCTTACCTTGTCATCAATTCTTTAAACTGCAGGATCGGAATCAACCAGAAGTGACCGACAGATATTTCCATGATGTCCCTTTTGATGCGTATTTTGCATCTGAGTTGCCAGATTTCCACCTGGTCAGCAGCATGCCTGGAGTGGATGGTTTCATCATGAAGGTGGACGCCCTGTATAAGGTACATGGCATACAAGTTAATACATGCGTTAGAATCCATTATTGAAATTTTCAGGGTTGATGATGCAGGAGAATTGTAGAATCTCTTCTTCTTTATCGCTGACATAAGGAGGAAAGAGAAGTATTTGGGGTGTGGCTCTGTGCTCTCATATTTATTGAATGAGGCAGGGTGATTAGGTGGCTTCTCAACTAAAGAGAATGGTGTTCATCCTGTCTTGGAGAGGATGTTGATGTCCTCCAGAATAAGTTCACAGTTGGATGTGCTCCTTCTTCTGTAGCAAGTTTATTTTGTGGTACATAGTGCTTTTTCCCAGCATGGATTCACTGGCATGTCAGCTGTAAACCTGCCTCATTTATCAATGAACTTGTAGCCTTCAGTATCTATTTGTGGGACTGTCTTGAAGAGTTTTGGGAAATTGCAATTAATACAAAATGTGCCCTACTAATTGGAACTGGGCATTATGATGATAGTGCCTCTGTGCTGGGTCAGTTGTTCCAGCTCTCCTAGAATTCTGGGCCCACTTGAAAATGCTATTCTTTAAAAATAAAGAATATTTAAAGACCTGAGTGGCTTGCAGTTAGGGTACTTCAGGGTACAGGCCATCTCCACCTACAATTTCTTGTATCTTAAAATCTCCCATGTAAAGCTTCTTTGTTATCATTTCATCAAACACCTTCTTTTCCCAAACCTTTAGGAATGTAATCTCATATAAAGTTGTGGTCTTGCTGAGGTCCTGATTTGCCTTGTTTCTGCATTTAATCATTCTGTTCCTTTTTTGTAAGCTACCTTGGGCATATGATTGGAGGATGATACCTATAATATCTGTAATAAATATTAATAATTTGCCCAATCAAGAGTGAGAACCATAACTGTGAAATTAGGTTTGTACAGTAACCAAAGAAGATTTTATTGAAGTAGTGGCTTAGTTCCCAAGCTCTTAAAATATTGCCTCCCCAGTATCATCCAGTCTAGGCATTAAATGAGCTGGAGGCACCTTGCTTGTGGTCTCCACTGGGTGTGGCACATAGAGTGGAGGCCAGGAGCAGGGTCTTTTCTGCAGCAGCATCCCAAATATGGAACTCTATTCTGAGAAAGTACAATCAACTGTTACTGAAAACAAAGTCTTGTTTTCAATGACAGGATTGTTGTTCATTGTTCTTTCGTATAGCCCACTAATTACCTCCAGGAGAAATAGTGATGTACATTACAACAGAACTAGAAATCACATCTTCTGAATGTTGTGCTTGTTTTGTCTTTTTGTTCAGGTGGAAGCTGGACACCAGTGGTATCTTCAAGTGATCTATGTCATTGGTCCTGAGACAATTGGGGGCCCCCGGATGCCACGCTCTGTTATACATCAGCTGAAGCGTGGCCGCCGGGATCTTGTAGACCACAAGGGTGTCCCTGTTCTGGATGACTCCTTAATCTATGACAATGAAGGAGATCAAATTAAAAATGGGACTAACATGAAGTCTCTCAACCTGGAACAACAAGAGGCCATAACTGTTGCCTCCCTTTCACAAACGGGAGCTTCCATTGGCAGCGCCTTTGCAGCAATCCTGCTTCTCTTCCTTATACTCTTGTCCATCTGCTTTGTAACTAGGAAGTGTCGGAAGCATAGGAAGAAGAAGAAGGCAGCCAAAGAGATGGCAGAGCAATACCCTCTCAACACTAAAGTTGAGGCAGCCAAGGGGTATGCCGAGAGGATGGAGAAGAACGTCAGTGGACATTACTGCACAGTGAAGAACCTCAACCTTCTCTGTGAAAATGAAGGTGCCTATAAGGTCAGAGGAACAAAGGTCAAGCAAATGAACTTGGAGGTGAAAGTTCATAACAATTTACATGATGGGACAGAAGTTTAATGGCCTGCACATTTGGGGGAAAGGGAGAAATGTCTTTATATAAATTGTAAAAAGGAGGGGGGGAGAATCCTTCTATAATTTTTTCTAAAAAAAAACCCCATTCTGGTATTTTTATAGTAGTCTTGTGGGAAAAGGGAAGAACATGATCTTTGCATTTTGTTTGCTGAAGCAATGATCAAGCAAGGTATCTTTGCATGCTTCCACTCTACAATGGAGCTACCTCACTGAAAGCAAAACCACCTGAGGAGAGGAAGGACTGAAACGCACCTCGTAGGCCACCTTGGAGTGCCAATCTCGCTATGGTTCCCAGACCTCTTCTGTTGTTGGCTTGTTGAATTCTCATTGCAGAACTGGTTGAATAAAAACAAAGATGCCTTGTGTGTGTCTACTTTGGAGGTAGAAGAAGCACAGTACAGAAATTGTGTGTGGGATAGCAAGTTGCCCTTGGATTTCCCCCATTCAGTTGACTGATGAAGGATTTGCAGTTCCAGTGATGCATTTGTTAGACCATTTGTACTAACTTCTGTTGGAGCATTTTCACACTGGTTCCTCCACACCGGTTCCTTCCAACAAGTGAAGCCTGTTGCTGTACAGATGGAAGGATGAAATTATTGAAACCCAAATGCCTTGAGGACAAGCAGGGTCTCTATCAGATTCATGTAATTTGGGTGAACCAACAGATCTATATAAGATAATACCAATGTTGAGTTCTTGGTATTCTCCGAGCTTGGTTGTTTTCCTACAGATGTTTCACTACCAGGTTAGGTAACATCATTAGTGCAGTGGCAGCTGAAAAAAGTGTGATACCTATCCCTGAATTCTTAGTGATGCTTGTGTATTACTAATCATAGATGGTCTGGTTCCCACAAACCTCATCTTTGCATGGACACCAAATTGGCAGTGGAGCAGCTGGGTGCCCCATACTTTTCCAAGTTGATCAGTTGAGATCTCCTCTGCTCCCTAAAGCTTAGGAAGTACTGGTATAGGGTCATATGGAGGGTATACACTTGAAAGAGCCCTTGTGTTCTTGGATATTTCTGGCAAACCAGACAAAAAGGTCTTTGGTGTAATTGGGCAAACTGAAAAGCTGAACATGGCTCTGTGTCCCATGCCACTGGCATTTCTTCAGCAGGATATCTTGAAGAAGCTCTTACAATGTACACTTTAGCTTCCTATCTCACTCTTCCCCAGGCGATAAACTCATTCTGTTTGTTGAGCAAGAATGGTTGATAATGAGAAATTGGTTGGTTGTAGGAAACTTTCTGTAGATCAGTTTTCAAGTGCTCACCTTTAATCTATAAAGAGGTAAGCTGACTATGATAAAGTGTATTGGGTGAGTTGTGTCAACTGGCTGAAAGAAATAAGAAAGCATTAGTTTTTTCTCATTGTCCATTGTTGTTTCACCTTATTTTGAAACATCTGCTATAATGAATCCTTTTTTGGGGGGGAGGTGTCCTAAATGCAGGTTTTTAAAAAGATTCCTTTATAATATTGGATATTTCTGGTTTGCCAGAAATATCCAATATTTCATTTTTTTGGAAATGAAAACCAACTGTGCCAAAAATCATTGCTAAACTTAATTTACAATACTATTTAGGACTCCTTCTGTCTATCAGCGTAATTTAATCCAGAAACCTTGTGTGGTGCAGAGCAGCAAGTAACTCATGTTCTGCACAGAAATCTAATTCATTACCCTCTTAGCTTAGGCACTTGATTTGAGCCAATTTGCCCAATCATTTTATATATTGCATCGCCCTTGGATTTTGGTATATGACACTGGTGATGCAAATGTCTCAATAATTCACAAGCTCCTAACTCCCAAAGCAACATTATCCAAATTATTTACCAAAGCTTGCTCAGGATAAAGTGAATCTTCATTTTGAAGGCAAGTGGAGACACTCACAAAGCTGGTTCGGCATGCCAAAAACAACATTATTAGGTACAATAAACCAGTTTTCCCTATAATGTAATGTCTTCTAGATGTGCTAGATTTTATCTTCCATTTCATCCACCAGAATGACTGCAGTGAATATGGATGGAATAGGTACCAAATTGGGGAAGACAGCAGGAACTTTGCATCTGATGGAAAACAACTGACTCAGTATGTACATCAAAACAAGATTAAGGTTCATTTGACTTGCTTCCTCACACATGACACTAATGGTGCCTTTGAGCTTCTCCCATGCTGCTTGTGTGCATATTATCAATGCAGGATGCCATGTGGAAGAGAATTATGTTAAAAGTCTTCCTGGTCCTACGTTGATATTACAAGCCATTGTGTCACCAGAACAAAACATCCTAAAAGCCCAGGACTTCAGTTGATGATTATCTGCTTTCTCATTTCCTTTTATTTGGTGTCTTCAAGATAAGGTTTTTCTGCCAAACACAGAGCAAAACTTCTCTCTGATCTCTGTGTTGCTAAGCCTACTATGGCCACAAAAGCAGTGGATGCTGGTAACTGAGTAGAAGCAGGAATCTTTTCCCTACAGCCACTGAATGCTAAATCAGACAACTGGAGTTTCTGTCCCATAGAATATTCCTCCAGTTCAGAGGTTCATGTTTGCTCATACCAAACTTAAATTGAATAAGCATCCTTCTTATTTTCACAGGCTTTTTGTAAGGCAGCACATACAGAGGAATAAAGGTGTGGATTGGCTCCCTCCATGGAAATGGATTAGAAACAAACTGAACTTGTGTGGATCTCCGCAGAAATCCCCAAGCTTTCTGTGGCAGGAAGGAAAAACCTGGGATAATGAGTCACAAACCAGGGTTTCCTCCTTCCTTGAGGGGCATGAGAATAACCCCTCTGGATAGCACAGCTTGGTGTGGGTGTCAAAGCCCTTGTGCCCACATTAAATGGCTAGATTTGGCTGTAATAAAACCAGCCTGGTGGGGTCAGCTTTTGAGACTTTGCTTCTCCACCAAGCTCATTGGATGACCTTGAACAAGTCATATTCTCTCTGCAGGAGATTTCTAAGGTTAAGGAGGTGGCATTGCAGTCTCCATGGTAACATTGTAGGATGAAAATGCAACGTACACAAGTCTTGTTATCATTCCAGGCAACTACTTGTGCCCCACTATTACCCCGAATGGCCAACATGCTTCATCAACGAGATTGGCCGGGCCATTTGGAAATTGTGGGGAACCCACCTGAAAGGTACAAGTTGTGTCACGTGTGTTGGGGTTTGTAGAAATAATTATTACAGTGTTATAAAAGCAAGAGCCAGGAGCACCTATGCTGTCTCCTATGCTGCCTTTTTCTATTATAAATGTCACTGCTGACATGCAGGCAAGCAAGTCTAGCTTCTCTGTGTAGACCTAATAGTCCTCTTGTTTTTCATGGCACACTGTCCTTCCAGGTAAGGTCTTTTGATGCTCCAAAGTGATTTCATTGGGTGCTGTCAACCATGTTTCTTGAACCTCAGTATGTTCTGTATTTCAGAGCATCAGTCTATTTGTAATTTCCATGATGCCTTTCTGTTGTTGTCTTTGCTAATAAACCACTTTTGGTTACTTTTTACCAGAATCTGCCTTCCATCTGAATCGTCTGCAGGGTTTTTTCAAAAAGTAGTTCTAGCGTTGGGGCCGATAGAACCGTGGTACTCTTTAACCTAATGTGGAAGAAGAGAGCCACATTCTTGAATACTGTTAATGGGGGCAATGGGAAGGGTATGACGTGTCAGGGGCTGATTAGGCTAACAGGGTAGGAAGCCTTAGGAAGATCCTTGAGATGGCTTCCTACCATCCTGGGCAACCTAGATGTAGTGGCATGGCTGAGCCCATTGTGAAAAAAATTGCAGTAGCCCATCTGCCTTTGTGATTTCCCTGCCTACATGATCCCAATAGAGGGGGAAAAGTGGGATAGCCTGCCCATTCACTACCATAAGAGAAGGGAATCCAAGCTGGTTTGAGACTAGGAATACATCTGAGAAAGGCAATCATGTTAAGACTCTACACTTAACACATTCAGTATAGAACATGTAAAGAGGATAACATTCATGTGAGGTAGACTTCATCCCATCATTATTGGATCCATCTCCTCATAAAGTTGCCTGTGGTCCACTGTCCTACTCAAAGGGGCTTCTGAATAAGGCAGTGTTGTCCAAACTTGGCCACTTTAAGATGAGTGGACTTCAACTCCCAGAATTCCCCAGCCAGCATTGAAGTCCACTCATCTTAAAGTGGCCAAGTTTGGACAACACTGGAATAAGGGATCTGCCTCCCTTGAATGTGTTTGATCTTGAAGTCATATCCCACATGATGAGTCTCCAAGGCATGAAGGTCTTGTGCTGGGCTTCCTTAGTGATACATGGTTGGCTCTGAGTTTGATCTGATGGCCCGCAAATCGACATAGACTTTCTAGGGCGTAAACTATGTGCATACATAATTTCCTGACAGTGTAACTCCCTCTCTGGCAGTTGCTTCCTCAGAACATCACTGGACGACGAACTCTGCACCCACTGGCATTGACACTGTCCCAGTGGCACTCTCTAAAGCATCCGTGGTTAACATGAGTGGTTTGTCAAACTCCAAATAGTTGTTTTTAGTTGCTCAAAAGCAACTTTATTTTTGAAAATTCAAGACTACGAGGTTGCACTGTTTTGATACAATTTTCCCAGGCTCTGAGTTTTACAGAGCTCAAAGAATTGCTCAGGGAAAAATTATGATCTCAAGAGGTTTGAAAGAAAATACAAAACCTGATAAATACACAAAAGATTGAAGTAGATAAATCCCGTAACTTGTAATATACAGAATACTGGGCTTAAGCACAACACAGATGAACATTTACAGCTTCTCTGCAAACCTTTTATCTATTTCTTAGAGTCCTCTACTAATTTTCCATGGAAGGGATGTCGGCATCTTGGGGTAATTCTAGCCATTTTTCCAGGGCTGTGGGGGAGAGGGTACACCCCAGCTGAGGCACAGCAACTTTTCCTATTATCCTAAATTCTCCCTCTAATTTTTTAAAAACAAAGTTTTTCCTGTCCAGGAGTAGAAAGGTCTGGGCATCTGCCCTTGATAGAAATCATGCCTCTCCCAAAGTAAATTCTACCTGAGATTAAGTTTTAAAAGATATTGATAGACTGGAGCAAGTCCAGGGAAGGGCTACCTAGATGGGAAAAGCACTGGAAACCAAGTCCTATGAGTAATGGTTCAGGTAAATCCAGGTATGTTTAGCTTGCAGTTGAGAAGGTGGAGAGGGGACATGATAGCTGTCTTCAAATATCTGAAGGGCAGTCCCATTGTACAAGCCGTCCTCAACTTATGACCACAGTTGGACCGAAACTTCCATTGCTAGGTGATTCAGTTGTTAAGTGAGTTGTGGTCATTAAGTGAGTTGCACCAAATTTTATGACTTTTTTGCCATGGCCATTAAATGAATCACATGGTCGTTAAGCAAATCCGGCTTCCCCCATGGACTTTGCTTGTTGGAAGTGCAAGGACCAGTTGTAAGTCACTTTTTTCAGCACTGTTGTAACTTTGAACAATCATTAAATGGTTGTAAGTCAAGGACTACCTGTAGGGGATTCAGACTTAGTTGCTCCAGAGGGTAAGACTAGAATGAATGGGATGAAATTTCAAGGATGGAGATACAGATTGGACATTAAGAAGAATTTCTTGACAGAGCTGTTAATCAGCAGAATAGGTTGGAGTGGTTTCTTTGCCTTCACTGGAGGTTTTCAGACAGAGGCTGGATTTTTTTAGGCTTTTATCTTGCCTTTCTTATTTTTATAAATAACTCAAGGCGGCAACATACCTAATACTCCTTCCTCCTATTTTCCCCACAACAACAACAACCCTGTGAGGTGTGTTGGGCTGAGAGAAAGGGACTGGCCCAAAGTCACCCAGCTGGGTTTCATGCCTAAGGTGGGACTGGAACTCAAGTCTCCTGGTGTCTTAATCACTAGGCCAAACTGGCTCTCCAGAGTCATCTTTTGGGGATGGTGTAGTGGATCTTGCAGTAGGGAGGAGATCAGACTTGGTAATCTCTTAGGTTCCTTCCAGCTGTATGATTCTATGAAGGAATCCCAGTATTCCCAGTCTGGGAAGCTTCTTGTGCGTGTAGGCTGGTGTCACAACACTGGATTTAGGATATAGTGTGGGGTGATTAATTAGTCCCATTTCAGTCAGTGGGGCTCAGATCTGGTTCTAGCTGCACCATTTCTTCACTGTTGAGCCTTCCTTTTCCAGAACCAGCCAAGGATCAATCCTCAAGACTTTTTAATTCCCTGCACCTTATCTCCATACAATTCCCCTCCCCATGTGGTCTGTTGTACTTAATGGCTGGTAAATGGATTATATGGGGAAGTCCAAGATCCTCCAAGAAACTATTGGAATTATTTTTTAACTGATTCTACAGTCATGACAGCCTGGCACGATATGGTTCATGGGGTCACGAAGAGTCGGACATGACTTAACGACTGAACAACAACAGTCATGAACTAAATGCATGGATTGACTTGGTCCCTAGCCTGCAACTCTGGGACTTCCTTGTGGTCTCCCATCCAAATGTTAACAAGTGCAGCCCTCCCTAGCTTCCAAGCTTTTGCGAACCACGATGCCTGGGACAAGGGCTCCCATTCCTTCCCCCTTCTCACAAAGTCCCCAGGAGGACCCCAACCTTCCTTCTAAAGGGGATGCAGCCTGCTTGGGGGTCCTCCAAAACCCTCCTTGGGCCCCACTCAACGGCTGAGTCTTACCGATTGGGCTCGGCCGGAGAGAAAAGCCTCAAGGGCACCCCCTACCGGGAGAGCTGTAGTCCAGCTGGTCAAGCAAGTTCCGGCCCCGCTTTCCTCCTCCTCCTCCTCCTCCTCCTCACCGCCGGGCAGGTGGAGCCATCGGAGGGCGGGAGCGCGGCAGCGCTACTTTTCCCAGGCGCCGCGCCGGCACTGCCAGTGTCCTTCGCAAGTTCGCGGCTCGGACTGTTGCTTCGGGTAAGTCTCCCGGCTTGACCTCTTCCCTGCCCCGAGACGTGGACCGGGGGGACTCCCGTAGAGCCGGGGAGCCGGACGGGAGGCGCCTTCCTGCCCATCCGCTCTTGCGAGCTTCCTTCTCCCTGCCTGTGCACCCCCTCCCCACCTCTAACTTCCCCGTGCCCTTTGCACCCAGCCGCGCCCAGCCTGGGATCGGGGCTCGGTCTGGCGTCTGGAGCGTCCCCCTTGGGCGATCTGAGGAGGGAGCCAAACTCCCAAGCGTGGCACCCGGGGATTTTTCCAAGGTGGGGCGCGGGGGACAAGTCGAGGGCGCCTCGCCGGCTCTCCTTCCCCTTTCCTGGCAGCGCATCTCGCGCGCGCCGTGCCGCGACTGCGCGCCCTTTGCTGCGCGCTGCCCTGCGAAGAGGCCCTTTCCCGGACAGCAGGCAGCCCCTACAAAGGGGAAGAAAGCTAGCCGAAATACTTTATAAATCTAAATAAATAAATAAATAAATCTTTATTTATTTATTTACTCTGTTCAATTCGTTTGAGGCATTGCCTGGCTCCAATGAGCTCTGGGCGGCTGCCAACTGAGCGCACGGGTCGCTCTCTCTCTCTCTCTCTTTCTCTCTCTCTCTCTCCTTTGACTCAGTCTATGTGGACAGTCTATATGAGGTTTTTATTTTTATTTTTTTATTTTTGCAACAGCCTACTAGTGGTTAGATACTGGCTTTTTCGGGGGTGTGATTCCCTGGTGGTCTCCCTTTCAAGCACTGACCGGATCTGATCCTGTTTAGTTAGCAATGTTTGTATATTGTACCAGTCCTTGGTAAGGATGTACAATTAGGTAACTTTGGAGAATTGCATGTAACTCCCCATTTTTAGCATGGGGGGGGCTGAGCAAAGTGCATCAAGGGCTCCCCCCTTTGCTGCCATTCTCTCCCTGTCAAGCAGTTTCTGTTTCTGTTAAAATGTTTCTTTAAAAAAAAAAGAGAGAGCAAAAGAAACCAGGATTGATCTGTTCCTCTAGCAACCTGGTAACTTTCCCCCCCTGCTCATTTTTCCCATGATCCAGTTACCAAACCAAAGTCTCCCTTTAATCAAGCTTGACTTTGTTAGCACATTCAGTTTCCTTGGCAATTTGATGAATGTGGTTTGCTTTTGCTTCCTTTTGGGTTTTTTTTTTCAAATGCCTAATCTGGGTGGTCTTCTCTCCAACTACTAACCAGTCATGACCCACCTAATTAAACTTTTCATGATCATCCAAGCTCTACGAGGTGCTTCTATCTCGGGTAGCAATACCTTATTCCAGCCAACTTCTGTAAATAGCTTTTGAAATAACAACAACAACAACAACAACAACAACAACAAC